CACCTTCTCGCTCATCATTGAAGCTCTGCATACGGACTCTCCTGACGACCTCACCACAGGTAACTGTGCCGAAACAGGCTCTTCCCCAGAATAGCTGCAGCCCCGCAACCCCACTCTCCATGGTGTGCAGCACAATCCACCCATCCCATCCCTGCTCCTCTTTGGGAGACCATGGGAAGAGAGGCCAACCTGTTGGCACACAGCCCTATCATCTTGCCTCTGAGGTTCCCCTCCCACCAGAGACCCCCAGTTGAGCATCCTCCTATGCCCCTGCCTCTTTTGGGCTCCCTAATCATGCCTGTCATCTTCACTTTCACACAGAAAACCCCGAGCGCCTCATCAGCCGCCTGGCCACCCAGAGGCACTTGGCGGTGGGTGAAGAGTGGTCCCAGGACCTACACAGCAGCGGCCGCACTGACCTCAAGTACTCCTATCGCTTCGTGTGTGATGAGCACTACTACGGAGAAGGCTGCTCTGTCTTCTGCCGCCCCCGGGATGATGCCTTTGGTCACTTCACTTGTGGAGAGCGTGGCGAGAAAGTCTGCAACCCAGGCTGGAAAGGCCAGTACTGCACCGAGCGTGAGTGTCCACCTTCTTGTCTCCCCGGGTGTCGGTTGCAGCAGTGTCTCCTGAGCTCTTGTGGGGGGCGTTTCTCTGACATCAGGCACCATGGGAGACGGGGAACCAAGCTACAGTGGGTGGAGGCCTGGAGCTCTGTACAGGCTTTACTGGTGCAGGGGACAGGAGGTCCTCAGCATTGCCACAGAAAGTTAATGCAGACAGCCCCTTCTCAAGCTAATAAAATGTCAGTGCCAGCATTACACTCTTGCTCATTTGCTGTAGACATCGAATCTGATAGCAAAATGTTCAGCAGTTACTTGAGGATTTATTAAAATACATCAGGACTACTCTTTATACATAGCCACCCCTTCAACCATGGTACACTGATAACATCATCTACAGGGTACATGGCTTCAGGAGAGGGAGCTAGGCTTTGGCAATATCCACGTGGCAGGCCTGTTGGTAGGCTTGCTATGGTCTGATGTCTTGCCACTCTGTATTGAAAAAAGTATTGGGAGGTCCAAGATGTTCTCTGTGGCCTCCAGACTGTACATTTCTCATTCGGGGTACTCATAAACAGCCACTAACAGAGATTTTTGCACCTGGAGCCACAAGAACATTTGACTTCTTCCTCACCTCTCTTCTGTGCCATTGCCATGATCATTGCTACTAATAAAGCGGTGAGGGACATGAGTTTTAAAGTATGCCTGAGCTTGAAGTTGTTGAGGAATGTGGTGTGTTGATACAGCAGGAAAAGCCGGGACAGTAAGCAGATCACAGAGAGGGCAGTCAGGGATGTCAGATACCTGCAGCTTTGTATGAGATTACCGCCCTTTGTAGGTACATAGCGGTGTGCACCCAAATGTGCACATAGGGCTCCTGCTGCAGCATGTGATGGCATTCTCTGTTTGTGTGCATACACGGATCTGAAGCACACTGGCAGATGACGTACTGGGCGAGTGCTCCTCTCCAGTCATCAAAGGGCCAGGCAGGCAGGGAGAAAACAGTTACGGGCTGTAAAGCAGCCTCTCGGGTTTTCTTCTTCTTGTGTTTTTGTTTTTCTTAAAGCCCACCTACTCTGTGGTCTCAGCTGAGCTGCTATCAAACGAGCCCAGATTGATTATTCACACTGTTAGTGACTGCTAGGATGCTTTCAGCAGTTCACGGTACAATGTTGCACAATAAACATCAGGCAGAGGGGATTGCATTTCCTTTGACAGTGTTTTAAATAGGAACTACAACCTTTCCCATGACCAAAAGTGCCTAGCCCAGTTGTGTCAAGGGGTGGGGAAAAAGGAAGCATTTTGATAATGAGCTCTTTTAGGGATGTCAGCACTTTCGGATGCCTGTACATCACTGCTCTTCCCGTAGGAAAGTAGAAGGCTGTCTGCCTTTCTTCACTCCTTACATACGCTCTTCACTCTGCTTTCCCTCTCCGAAAAACCCAGCTTGTAACAACGACACAAACCTACTAGGCAGGGGAGATGTGTTTATGTGTGCATGCAAAAAGAATGTTTTGCCGTTAGCGAGTGGAGCTGCCAGTCGCAGATTGCTTCCCGTC